AGACCGGCCTCATTTAATAAAGAAAACACCTGTCCTTAAATCCTGTACATGTTGGTCTAGATTATCACTAGTAATAATGATATCGTCTAAATAGATAAATGTGGACTTTCCGAGAACAGGTCTTAAACACAATGTCCATGCATCGCTGAAAATGTTGCTGGGGCGCCTGAAAGGCCAAACGGCATTCGCAAAAAATGCATAAGTGCCAGACTTGGTTATAAAAGCAGTCTTAGGCACGTCCTCAGGCCTGATCCCTATTTGAAAATAACCATTCGTTAAGTCTAAAGTTGTCATAAATTTGGTTTTGATTTTATGTTCCTTAAAATTTCTTCTATAATCGGTAACGGATATACCGGATATTTCGTTATGGAATTTAATTTACGGTAATCAATAGCGAATCTCCACCTTTTTGGATGCTCCAAAGGATAAATCATTATTTTTCTTACATAAAAACCACCGGACTAGCATAACTACTTGAGATAGGCGTTACGATCTTTTTACGTAGCATATCGGTAATATGCCATTCTATAATTTTTTCCTTATTCTTATCATACCGGTATGGTTTTTGACGAACCGGCAATGCATCTCCGGTGTCAATACTATGGTTAGTAACCTGGGTAAATCCTGGAATATCACTAAATAAGGAAGCAAATTCACTTACCACTTGTCGGATTCTATCTTGCTCGTCATTAGGCAGGTGGTCAAGATTTAACCTCGGCGGTTCAACCTTTTCTACACGCACTGGTTTCATCGTCAGCTTAAGAGACGCTTCATTAAAATCCAGTGTAGCTTGTGCGTCTGAAAGAAAGTCTATTCCTAGTATTAAGTGTGCTTGCAAATTCTTTACTATAAAAAACATCACCTTTACTTGTCGTCCTTGATACGGATGTACAAAGGTACTTTACCTACGCACTTGCATTGTTCTCCTTGCGCCGCTAATACTGTGTATTATCCGCATTATATATGCGGGATTGCGAAAATACTTTCTAAAAAAGACTTCTGCCACACAGGAACACTGCGCGCCGGTATCCAGGAGTGCGGTGGCCGGGATATTATTTACCAAGACTTCAATCTTCGGAAGAGTTAAATTTTTCACCATTACTGTATTTAACTTGTAGGAAGAGGGGTTTCGTGGCCTTCGGATTTCCGCACCCTCTCGTCAGCAGGAATCCGTTTTAGTTTAAATTATATTTTTCTTTCGGTGCTTTCCTTCTTTCTCCACTGGCCTTGAGACTTTTTTCCTGGGTTGCTATTGAACTGTCGACGTTCGCCGGCTGTTTTTGAATGCTCGGGTTTCCTTGCCCACTGATTCGCTTTTTCTCCGTAGCCATGTGCTTGAGTTTGCTGTAGTCTTGGCGTACCAAATTGGTTTCGCTTTGATATTGGCGTCTTCTTTCGACGTCCGCCGTTCTTCTACTTTCAAACTGGATTGCTAGCTCAAATAATTTTCCAGTGTAGTCGGATTTCTCATTCAATAAAGTCTTGCACTTGGAGTAGTAACCTCGGCAAAATCACTTGAATTATTTCAGGATCCGGACGGTTTCCATACAAGAGCTGAAAACGTGAATTTTCTTAAAATAAAACTGGAGAGGTTTTCCATTCTTTGTTCATATATACTGAAAAGTTCTGTTTCTAATTTCGCACGATCCCTTACAACAGGGAAGGCTTTTATTAGGGCAGTCTTGAAATTTTTGTAAGTATAGGTGGGAGTTCCCGCTTGACCCAAGAGACTTTCTTCCTACACATTTGAACCAGTTAAGCTCTTGGCTTCTCAAAGCGCTGGTAGCTAAGGTAACTTTCTGAAACTCGTGCACGGTGGATATAGCATGAAGTGGTCATCCAATTTTTCCAAAAAAAATTGGTTACCTGGTGAGTTTCCATCAAAGCGTTACTTCTGGTTTCATCGATGCTGCATGGTCTGGATGAATATAACCCAAATCCTTCCAGAGCGGCAGCTGGCATTTCTGGATTCTGAGCTGTTTCTGCAGGCAGCACAGGTTCTTCTTGAAACTCGGCCATGGTTATTCTTCGTCGGGCGCCACTATCAGGTTCAATGTTTCTTCTAACCTTCTTCGGAAACATACAATGACCTGACTAGAACAGAGAGAGCTTACTAAAGCTATGTTCACTAATTGTAGTAAGTAGACAGGATACAGACGAAGGGTATACAAAACCCTTTTTTTTTTTCTTTATATACAATGACTTCCGTACTTCGGAATACAATGACCCTCCACTCGGGGTCTAACTTAAAAGATATCAAAATAAAACTAAACTCTAATTTAACTTTAGAATAAGATTGGCCTTATAATAACAGGAAGCGTATGTAGCACAGAGACTGTGAACACTACAATACGTTTAATTATCAAGAGGATTAAAACCTCTGGCCTGGAAGGCAAAGTAGCAACTGCGTAACTTCTAAGGTAAGCGGCCTGCTTCGAACTCACGGCTTCCTCTCTTCTGCTTGGCAAAAAGGCCACACTTAAATACTTGGCGTTCGCCAGACAACTTTGCATAAACTCCTTCACGCTTATAATTCTGGCCGGAAGTAGAAAATAAGAAGTGATAGTAAAGATTTAAAATAAAATAAACGTTAGTAAAACTTAAGATCCTTACAACATAACACAAATACCATATATTCCCAAAATCTATCACAAAGCAAATTGCAAAATTGCAAAACCCAATTCAGGTAACTCTCTTTGAACCACTAACTCTCAGATCTGGTTAATAACTAGCTTTTCTGACTCATGGACCCATATTTATATGGCGTTGCACTATTTTCTGAAAGCTTTAGAGAAGTCCTAGGGTTTTGAAAATAGGTTCACCGAAGTTTCGAAAATGTCGCCAAGTTGCTGAGAAATCGTCAGATATCGATAATTTGGTAATAAAAAATTACCACAAAGGTCCTATAGGAGTCTTCTTGCACATATCATGTGTTCTAGGTAAGGTATTTTAACAGTTTAGACATCGTTGGATTTAGAATTGAAAGATCTGTAATCATACTTTGTAAGAAATAAATACATGGCCAGAAATTCAGCTACACACAAAGTAAACCCTAAAACCTTTAATCTAAACGCAATACTTGAACAAATGAATGAATAAATAAAATAATACGTAGTACACAAAAACAATAATATCAAAAAGATATAAGTGTTTGCAAAAATGTATAATATTTATACTGAACATGATTAGCGTTTGCATAATTCATAACATTATGACTCAATATTCCAATTCAACGTGCTATGGAAAACTCAATCTCGGGTCAGATTCTTTGTGAAAAAGGCTAAGATCTTAGTTCAGAACCAGACTAATGCTGTTCATCCTTTTAAGCCAAGTAACGGCTGGCTAAGAAATTGTAAGTACAAGCACGGTGTCCGTCAAACAGTTTACTTTGGCCGAGATGTTCAGCAAACAATGACTTTCAGCACTAGCAAGTACTGTACAGTACGCTACATAACATGTACGTAAAAGTGTTGCCTTTTCATTTTGATTAATAAAAACCTCTTTTTATTTAAAAATAGTTTTTTCTCACATTTTCAACATACAGTACCTACAGTAATTAGTTAAAGTGTGTGTAGACCCCTTCTTCGAAAAAAATCTAATTACCAGAAATTTTGTTTATCTGAATGGGGGAGTCTGGTTCCTATTGATTCAGATAATTGGAGTTCTGTTGTACTTCCTTTACTTCGTACAAAGAAGTAAAAAATGAACGATCATAATAGGTGTACACAGTCTTTTATTCAATTCACATCCTTTTCGCGTAATCAGAAGCGTGTACACGATTTATATTCTTATATCTAGATATATCTACATATAAGGGGCTAAAATGTGTGTTACCGATAGTTTATTGTTGCCACTCGGAAAAATGAGCGCGGAAATTAACGTTTTCACAGTTTTTAATTAATATCTTGGCCGATTAAAGTCCTACGAAGATGAGAATAAAACGCTTATTTCTGCATTTTTAATATTGATTTCGGAGAGATACAGTGGGTCATAAATTCAAAGCATGTTTTCCTCTTAAAAACCATAATGCTTTGAAGATACAAAAGATAAAAGATATAAAAAGTAATTAAATCTAATTGTTTCTGATTCACAGATTTAAGAAATTCTATTTTTAGCCATACATTTTTTATTTAAAAAATTTTAAATGGTACATTGCAAATTAAATTATGCTTGATTAGTTAGTTACAAATCACGAGAAAAATTACTTGGAAATAGGGCGGTGAATACTGAAGTTAAATGATACAAACAAATTTTAATTGCTATTTTTTCAAATAATATTATATTATTTTTAAAACTATAAGATTCATTTATGATGCATGATACAATAAAAATTATATATGGAATATACAAAAGTAAATCCTAGACTGCGTATTTTGCGTAGCTAAAAATGAAATCGCATCATTAGCGATTCTTTTATAGAATATTAGATAAATGTGCATTCAGACTAACATGGGAACGTTATATAGCTTCTCATGTTTAAAAAGGGAAAAAATCTGTAATATAATTCTATAAAATATTTAATGTTTTTAATTAGATAATTAGATGATGCATTTTTATTTAAATCAATCAACGGAAAAGTAAAAATGTTCATAAGAACTGAATCTAATTTGCTTTTTTCTACCAATGGCGGGGACCTGCCTTTTCGACATTGGCCATTAGACTTCATTAGACCGGTTTGAAATACGCATTCGATTGAAATGACCAAACAAGATGTACCAAGCAAAATAACCAAAAAACTGTTTCCTTTCCACATAGTTTTTACAAATTAATTTTACTGTATCTCGTGTGAAACACAAACAAGACTTCAAACTTAATAGTACGATTTTTATACGTTAGTGTTTGTATTACCTTTATTTTAAGGTTAGGGTGTTATAACAAATGAAATCTGATTGTCGAATGCACTGTTTAGGCTTTTCGAAACTTCTTTTGGAGAAAAGCAGAGGTAACATGAATACCTATTTCCTTACAAAATTAACGACAATGAAATTTTCTTAATTTAGGTCCTCAATTCTGTATTATCGGGAGATTTCATCTGGTACGGGAATCCTTTTGAAGAACAAGTTCACAGTCTTGTTTCGTTTACGGCTTCTCGCTGCTACCTCACCGGTGCTCTCACATACGACATGGCCGGAACTATCAATACTCGTGGTCTGGATTCTCTTTCTCGTATTGAAGTGATCGATTTCTCCTATAATCACCTGACTGTAGTTACAGGATCGGCCTTTCTGAAACCTCCCACAAACTTGACCACAGTTATTCTGTCTTATAACAGCATTGAAAAGATCGAAGGTAATGCTTTCCAACATTCACCTTTACTAAAACATGTGAACCTGTCGCACAACCTCCTGGAATCTGTCTCAAGAGCTATATTTGCTGCACCTGCTAGACAACTGGAACATCTGGATTTAAGGTAATTGCTTGATGTGCTTAATATGAGTTTTTATTTAGTTCACTCGTGGTGTTTCATTGTAGATGAAATTTTGTCATCGATTTTGAACCTACTTTCCTGGGTCACCGCTTTTTCGGATGGCACAGACTGTCTTTTCACCATCGATGGGGAATAATTGATATACTTTGCACTTTGTAATCGATTACGAAGTCTCGATTCGTATTACGTTTTATGCAGAACTAAGGTAATATTGTACATAGAAAATCTCGCAGAAAGGAAAAGAGCTTACCTTTATATTTAATTTTTTCCTTGTTATGTATGAGACTGGACGCAATACGAATAAATCTCTGTGATACAGTCAGTCGTTTCCATTATTCGAGTTAATTCATCGAGAGATCTTTCTAAGTCTTAACAAAAAGAAACTGGCTCATATTGCTGATACAATGATTGAAAGTATTGATATGCTTTGTTTAGTTCTCTTGTTAATTAAAAAATCGCAATTGCCTATGTAATGAGTCTAAAAAATAAGGAAAATTAATATATGTCTGTATTGTTGTTTAAGCAGAAATAATGCATGATTATAAAATATATATTAGAATCTAGTGATTGTATATGTACGATTTAAAATAATAATTACGTATATTGAAGCACAGGAGGAAAGCAATCACTGAATTTTATTTGTTTTAAAGCTTCGTAATCAATATACAACGTCCACTTGCTTATCGATGCTACTGTCTTTTGATGTTGAAGAACAGTTTGTGCCATCCGAAAAAGAGGCGAACTACTTCTTCCTGGTAAATTATCGAGCTCAAATTTTGTATGCACAACTGTTTTTCGATGACAATGCAATATGGTGAAGCAATTTTTCCAAAATTAAATTGAGATTTTTACTTCCTTCTACGAAGTAGTATTGTCATTTCGAAGCTATTTCTTCGAACGCTTTCAAGTATTTTTTTGCCATCCCCGCTATGTACCGCAATATTTCTTTTCCGATGTTTTGCGTGACATTTGTACGTAAGAACAGAATAAAACACTTTTTCCCCCGAAAAAATTAATAAACTGATTAAAATGCGCTGAAGAGATTTGTTCCTGACGTCTGTACGTACGTATGTATCTTGCATAACTCAAAACGAGTGTGCCCCAGTTGAAATTTTGTATATAGGACTACTATCGTAATGTGCCACATCATATTTTGGTTGCAATCGGTCGCACCAAGTAATAAATCCTATCCACTTGGTACTCGGCTTAGCCAGCTCAGTTTCTTTATTCTTACTGTTTGTAATTGTGCTTTTGTTTTCCCTGATTGAATTGTGTTGTTCTTATTTCCGGGTACGGTTTTCATGCCTTTGTTAAGCTGCATGCAATAATTGTGGCATTATCAACAATTTAAAGTTTTTGAAGTGCGGCTAAGCTAATTTTGGTTACCATAGTAGCTATATTGTTTACATTTGAAAGTTAGCAGAATATTGGATTGTTACCAATCTAGAGAATAAGTTCACAACAACAATTCTTTATTATGCGAATTAATTATGATCTAATCTGAAATGAACATTTAGTTATTAGCTTGTTTTACGTAGTGTATTTTATGTTTGTTTTTTTGTACGAAGTAAAAAGGAAGTATTGTCGCGAAAAATGGTTCGGTTCCATATTCAACGAAAATATACATTTTGACCTCTATCGAATACAATTTGACGATGTTTTCCCGTGACATCCGTACGTAAGAACAGAATACAGGGCTCTTTTCCCCCTAAAATATTATAAAACTGATTTAAAAGGAATTCTGAACAGATTTTTTCGTGGCGTCTGTACGTATCGTACGTACGTATGTATGTATGTATCTCGCATAATTCAAAAACCAATATCTCAGAACGTTGAAATTTTGTATATAGGACTACTATAACATGTAGACGTGCACCTCGTATTTTGGTTGCAATCTGTTGACACCAAAAGTATATAAATATATATATATATATCTTCTGTTACTCGGCTTAGGAAAATCAGTTTCCTTATTTTATACGTTGTAAATTGTCATTTTTGCTTTAAAAATGATTGAATTATGTTGTTATCTTCCGGTTAGGTTTTTATGCCTTTATTTAACCTGCATGCCATAGTCGTGGCATATAACAATTTAAAGGTTTTTTTAAGTGCCGGCTGAGCTTCATTTTGTTAGCATGGAGCCATTTTGTTAGTTGAATTTAGCGAATAGTGGATTCTTGCCAATTGAGAACTAGAGAAGAAAATTAGTGAAGTAATGTCTTGTTTTATTATTGCGAATTAGATTTCTTATTCTTCTGGAATTATATTTAAGTTTTAGCTTGTTTTTGTTAGAAACTGTTAATGTAAAAATTGTTTTTTAATTGTTTTAACTCTACTGGTATTTTTGTTTTTCTATATCTTTAAATTTTAATGAAATATTTTGAACTTTTATGTATTTTGCCTTGCCGCGAAGTGAGGATGAATTAGAGGACGAGGACCCATTTAGATTGCTGTTTTGAATAGAACATGACAGGTGAAACAGGCTGATGCCCCGTCCTCCACTATCTAGTAGCAACAACTCCCTGGAGCCTCATCTGGCTGCCGGGAGTTTTTTGGATCTTAATGAGAAAGTTACGTGGCCATACAAGGGCGGTTGACATAGTCTACATTACGAGTGTGTGTGTATGACATTTGAAAGTTTAAAGAACTCTTAAGTACACAAGATATTCACTACAGTAGAGTACTAATAATGCATTATTGATGCTGTTAAACATATATGCTGGGCAAATGTACCTATGATATATATAGAAACGTGTAATAATACTGGTAAGATCACAGATGATAGCCAGATAAGCTGTGATAATAGTGAGAACACATGGTGGGGCCAGCACGCGGTACATTGTTGATATAAAGCACCGTGTATACTAATTAAACCATGATGCAGGGCAGATAAGACAAATAATAGCATAAGTTGTAATAATACTTAGCAATGAACTCTTGGTGTTACATATGAAACAGATGGTAGTATGAAATACTTATGGGGAGACAACTCATCTGCATGAACCTAGGCTAACACATGATAGGAGTGCATGATGCAGAGCAAATATGTTATAGTATATACATGATACAGAGCAAATATAGAGCTAATTACAAGGCATGATGCAGGGCAACTATAATACTGATAAAAACACATGATTTGGGGGCCAATATGATGCTATTTAAAGCACATGATGCAGGACAGAGATAACTAATAGAAACACATGATGCAGAAAGAACTTATTGGCACACATGGTACAGGGCAATATGTTATCTAATAAAAACGCATGATGCGAAGCAGATATAATGCAAATGGTAGCATATGATGCAAATACATATTAGGGTAAACAGTTGGTTTAGCATATGATGATAGTATGTGTGTTGTAATATTTTAATGAGACAACTCATAGTGCACGAGCCTAGGCAAATACATGATAGAAACACTTTATGCAGAGCAGGTATTATGCTGATATATACACATGATGCAGAACAAATATAGAGCTAATTAATAAACGTGACACAGGGCAGATATGATACTAATAAAGCTACATGAAAATGCATTATGCGGTGCAGTTTAAGTTCTAATGAACACGTATGATGCAGATCAGATATGAGGAGAAAAAAAAAGAGGCCCTATGCCGCTGAGCAGGTATAGTACTATTAAAATCATTTGATGCAGGACAGATATGATACTGATGAATATATATGATGCAGAACAGATAAATAGCTTATAGGCTCACATGGTACAGAGCATTTGTTGTACTAATAGGAACGCATGATGTAAAGTAGATGTAATACAAATGGAAATATATAATGCAGATAAATATTTGGGGTAAACAGTTGGTGTTTCAGATAATACATATGATACTATGTGTAAAAAAAAATTATGATTAGACAACTCATAGCGCACGAACTTAGGCTGTCATGCGATTGGAACACATGATGCAGTTCAAATATGATATTAATATATATACATGATGCAGAACAAATATAGGGGTAATTAAATGACATGGTGCTGAGCAGATTCAGTACAGGTGAAGAACGAGTAAATACACTTGGTACAAAGTAAATGTGATGCCAATAAATACACATGGTGCAGAGCTGATATGATACTAATAGCAAATCAGATATAATACGAATAAAACACATAGTGCAAATAAATATTAGGGTAGACAAAGATACATATGTTAGTATGTGAGTAATAAGTGCTAATAGAACCATATGATACAGAGAGCTGATATGATGCTAATAGGAGGACATGCTGCAGAGTAGTTATAATACTGACAAAAGCACATAATACAGTGCTTGTATAGAACTAATGAGACACATGACAACATTAAAGTTCATTAAATATTTGCTATTGTGCAAGACTTCTCAAACCAGTTTAAGTTTTGTTTAGGTATAAGATATCTTATAAGGTATTGCATGTGTAAATTGTAGTTTCCTGTCTAAATGCAGTGGAAAACCTTATGTTGAATAAATGGGCTGGCAGATATCCTGACCTAGTGCCGCGATAAATTTTATAATTTTACATATTGCATTAATGCTTCCTTTGTATTTGAATAGTACATGTGGTAATTCTTCAGATAATATAATGTTTGTGCACCCTGAATTTTAAAATAAATGAAACATAACGCTGTTAAGTGAACCAACTTAGCGCCAAAGTGTCGCTATGGTAAATAAATATAGTGAATTTTAAAGAGTGCATTTATTCTATTGTGGTTTATGCGCTATTGACGAAGTAGATTTAATTCAAAATTCGTTAGCTGTTAATTTAATACGTTTAAATGAAATGCAGGAAAATTGTGTATAATTTAATATTCAGTACGAGGAAGTCATGTGTTGTACACATCAGATTTATTTATTAAATGCTTAAACGATTTTTCAGACGTATATTCGTTTGACGAACAAACTAAGCATATCTAAATTTTACTATTCACACTATCGAATAGAATGGAATTAAATCTTTTTAACGAAACTTCTATGAAAACCGCAACTTTCTGAATTTTCGGCAAAGTTTTGGAAATCGGTGTTTTGGAAATCGTTTCGTAATTTGAGTGCGAGATCTTTTGGGTTAGTCTGAAGCTGAGTATTAAGATATTCTTGCGAGATGGCTTCTGTTAAATTAGGAAAAACTTTTCTGTGTTTGTTAACTACTGCTGCAAAATTTGAAGGGGAGGGCTTGAATTTCTTTAGTATTATCAACTATTTTCTTAGGACTTCCTGAGGTTTTCTTTTCTTTTCTCTGGTATTTACTTTTTTTAGTAGAAATTAGAGTAGCAATTACATATACTTTGAAGCGCCGGGTCATCTGAAGCAATTCCAGGCATCTCTTTGGATGTAGTCAATTTTCCTGAATAATTGGAATAAGCAGAATCATTATCGCTATCATAATCGCTGAAAGTAGCATGCTAAGGAATTTTTCCCCTATCAGGTGGTTCGCTATTACTGGTAAACAAGCAAAAATCATATTTACCAAAACTCAAGAAAAGCAGTCTTCATATTATAACTCAGAAATCATATTGTAACTCAGAATCTCATATTATAACTCAGAATCTCATATTATAACTCAGAATGCACAGAATTTATATCATTTGCGTTTTGTGATTTTGCACTAAATCACTATAAATGTCGGTTTCACTTTTCAAACTGTTAATATTATCAGATATTATAACTATTTCTATGTCTATGTCATAACACAATTAAGAGGCAATCGGCCTAGTGCAGCCTTTACCAATATATAAGTAGGGTGTCTTTAATGATGAGTTGAATCCAGTAGGATGGAACGTACTTTTTGCACCTAGTGCAGAATCTCTAGAAGAGAAGTAAACGTGGCCCCACGATGTGGGAGGATCTGCAGCTTGAGGATTTCTGCCGCTCGCCTATACTTGCCTTGAGAGAAACTGCGAATTAATCTTGATCTGCCAAGTTCAAAATCATCTCCATGGCTTAAAAAGTTAGGTAAAGTTTCTGCAAATTTGATTTAGCTGATTTAATTCTCTGAACTATTGTGGTTATTGATTTCATGAGATAAAGGGTTTTCTGATCTTTGAAAATGTTAATGATTTCTGCTAAATTTTCCTGTGGGTTTTTCTGCTTAACTTTGTCACTGTAAAGGTTTTTAGACATTTCTTGATTATGTCGACCTGAAGCTTGAATGAAGTCGGGGAAGTCATCTTTAGTGGGAATTTCTTGTGGTTTTTCTATCTTCTCTAAATGATTGCATCTTTTTCTGTATACCTTACAACCATGATAAGAGATATTATAACTCAGAATGCACAAAATTTATATCATTTGAAGAATTATCTAATCGTTGCCACATGTTCTATTCAAATACTATAATAAATCTGGAACGATGTATAAAAGAAATTAAGCAAACAAAACAAAAAAGAAACAGTTTTTCACAGGCGATTGAATATTTCTCATTCAATTAATTCAGTTCTCACTTCCCGACAAAGCAAAAATACATAAAAACTCAAAATATATATATTAAAAATTACAAAGTAAATTTTAAACACTTATTTCTTCGAAAAAATCCCAGAAAGGACTAAGCAAGATTTAATTCGCAATAATAAATGACGGCGTTATCTTTGTTGTTGCGAAGCTTAGTCTTCTCTAGATTGGCAACAAATCCAATATTCTGCTGTTTCAAATGTAAACAAACATAGCTACTGCCATGGTAACCAAAAATTAGGCTTAAACCGCACTTCAAAAACTTTAAATTGTTGATAATTCTACAAATATTGCATGCAGATTTCTTAAAGGCATAAAAACCTTAACCAGAAGATAAGAACAACATAATTCAATCATTTTTAAAGCAAAAAATGCACATTTACAAACATATAAAAGTAAAGAAAGTGAGATCACTGAGCCAGGTACCAGAATATATATATATATAGATAGATACGTTTGGTGCGGCCAACTGCAACCAAAATACGAGGTGCATATCTACTACATGTTATAGCAGTCCTATATACAAAATTTCAACGTTCTGAGGCTACTCGTTTTTGAGTTATGCGAGATACGTACGTATGTACAGACGCCACGAAAAATTCTCTTCGGAATTCATTTTAAACCAGTTTTATAATTTTTTTGTAGGAAAAGAGTCTTTTATTCTGTCCTTACAACAGATGTCACGCAAAAACATCATTAAATTGTATTCGATAGCTGTCAAAATAATATTTTCCTTGAAATATGCTGCCTGAAAGTTTTCCAGATTGCAATACTCCTTTTTTACTTCATACAAGGAAGTAAAAACAACGGTACCTAGAGTCACCAAATTTTGAATAACATGGTCTTCCACCCGAGCATGGGTACCCGGAAGCCGGAATTTGGAATTTGTTTTATTGTTTGTTTCATATTTTGGAAACGTTAATGAATTTTTTATTTAAAAAAAATAAACAATTTCAAAGGAAGCAGTGGCAACACTGTAGGAAATAAAACATTTTTATCTTCAACACTCGAGATTGTCTATCGAAAATTCTAAAGATATACTGTTTTATAAATATTTTTAGCTCAATGTGGCGGTAGCTGATATGCTCTCGAAACGTGTATGTGTCTGTAAATGAAAAAAAAAAAAAAAAAAAAAAAAAAAAAAAAAACCGCCCATTTGAGAGTAGTATAAAATCTGAAAGTTTTCAGATTTTATTTATTTATTTATATTTATTTATTTTGATCTTGGTACAAAAATCTCAGCGCATACTTTGTTATAAATTCATTAGTTCAAGAAATTCATGTCAAAAGCCTAATACTGCGAATTAGAACGCTTCTTGTTTAAATTTTTAAGACGTATTTATTAAAGTGCAGTCTACATTTAAAATAAAAAATTTTAACATCTTATTTCTTCTCATCTCACATTTTTCAGCTATCAGGTCTGAGAGTAGGTCTGAGGTAGAGCTTTACACTCTACTATTAAAATATGCTAAAGTATGCTATTAAAATTATTTTCAATTTTAAATATCTTACTGGTCTTAAATTCTGAGTAAGACTATTTATTATTATTTTTTACAATTTTCTAAATTAAAAATTTTACTGCGATTTAAAATCGGTGTAATATATTGTACATCATAAAAATTTTAGCGGCATATCTGTGTGTGAAGTTTTAGTAAAATACTTTATTACTTATGTTATTTTACTAGAGTTCTTTTATATTTTCTGTTAACCACCAAATCAATAAATAACCTTACATTGCATTTATTTATCTGTTTGCAGCTGGAATTCACTCACAGTGTTACCACATGATTTTTTTAATAATATGCCAGCTTTAAGAAAAGTTAATTTAGAGAAAAACTTCTTTTATTCTATGCCAAAGAATCCATGGGCTGTTATCTGGACGCAACTGAAATACTTGGACATTACAGGTAAAAATTTTATCAAATGGTGTTAAGCTAATAGCTAAATAAATTTTTATCTAGATAATATGCCTGAAAATCACTAAATATATTGTTGATCACTACATTTAAAATTTTACTTCATCTTTGCAGCACTATATTAGGACTCATTTCGCGATAAAAATCTGTCGTTTTAGTTGCTATTTGCACACTCTGTTTTTATATAAATTACAGTATTCGCGAAAGCCTGATTGCCGTATTTCCTCATGTATATTTTCTCCTAGCTTTCTAGCGCCAATTTCTAAAAAAATTCGCTTTATTTTATTCCGAAAAAAATTAAAAATATTCACGGTATTTTCTCTGTCTTCAATGAGTTCAGAGAACCAGCTTCCTTAAATTTTAAAAAGTTCGTCCACGTAGTGATTGTTTTCATCCTACTAACAAAGACAAACCCTCGCAAACTACACGCCGAAATTGTTTCTTCTAAATATTGAACTTTGTGCCAGTCCGTTAGTATAAAATTAGGTATTTTTGCAAGATATACTATATTGGCGAGAGAAAACGGAGGTCGGGGACATTCGATTCTCACCTCAGCTAGTTGTACCTGGACAAAGGTCTAATTCAGTTAGTGCTTTATCTCGTACCGTGTCAAAATATGCTCCTGTTTCTTTTTTTATTGCCTAAATAGGTGACCCTGATGATATTAGGACTGATGATTTTATGTAAGTTATTCTTTTCAAATATTCAATTTTTAATGTCTGTAAAGATTGTTACTTTAATTCGTGTTCTGCTTAAGTTAAGCAGAATTCCCATACTTGTGAACTGAAGATTTCGTAATTATTTTGATTTATGATTTTACTTATGATTAAAACTGCGCTAAATAGAGGAAACTTACTCAATACGCCTTACGTGCTAATGCACAATAGAAGAGTTGATTAGGACACTGAGTAAGTTGATAAGTTTGAGAAAATTGCCTTGTGGAAATGCTTCTGAATATTGAAATTCTAGACTTCAAATGTTATAATGTTGTAAGATTCCAGGGGCATAAAGTATTAAAACATGTTGTTTAAAATACTAGTTACAAAGTTTAAAAGAATAACTGTAACGAATAATTATGTCTATTTTAAAAGAATCAGTTTATATAAGGAAGTTAACCGATGAAAATTATTCACCCTGAAAATTTAAAATAATAAAACTTCTAATATAAAAGAAGGTTTAAATGCTGTTGTATTCCAAGAAAAACAGGAAACTGTTTCTGATACTTAGTTAAAAAACTACCGTAAAGCTATAGCTTTAATATGCCTAAACATTTCATATTCTCAAATTATCACGTTTTGCCTAGTAAAATCTGCTGAAGAACTGAAGAAGTATGGCAGAAATTAAACTGTGTTCATGAACGTGTAAATTTAACAAACAAGTTATTTCTTCTTAGAAAATTGTATTCTATCAGATATAATGAAAGTTCTAAATGCAGGAACATATCAAAAAAGTTCTAGAATTGGTTGAAAAGTTGCGTAGTATAAGTGAAGAAATTAAAGAAAATAACGTAATAGCAATATTACTATGTTCTTTAACATATTCATACAACTCGTTAATAACCGCAACAGAAAGTAAATCGGAAGCTGAATTGTCAATAGAATATGTTAAAATAAATTAATAGATGAGTATTGTAGACGTTAGAAACTAAGCAAGTTCAAAAATACGATTTAATTGCTTTAAAAGGTAAAAGTGAAAATAATTCAAAGGCGTTATGTTACACGATATTGTACTTATTGTAGTAGAAATGATCACACAATAAACGACTGTTTTCATTTAAAACGCATTGCTAGAACGTCCTCCAAAACAGATGTAAATAACAGTAAAGTAAGAAATTATTCTCAAAAATATAAAAGCAATGCATAAAAAAAAAAAAAAAAAAAAAAGTTAAAGAAACTAAGTATTTTGAAAGTATCAAAACTGAAAAATTGCAAGTTGAGTTTAATCAAGTTCTAAAAGTGGAACATAAACATGAAAACTCACAAACGCAAGAATGTGTTATCGACTCAGAAGCCTTAATTCATATGAGGAGTGATATTAGCTTTTTCTCTCAGTTAAATGATTCTACTAAGCAAATATTAACTGTAGCTAATGGTGCTAAATTAAATTCTTATGGTATTGGTGAGGGCTATTTTAAAGTTCAAAATATAAAAAATCAGGTTACCCCCAAAAATTACAAAATGTACTATATGTACCAGGTTTACATAGTAATTTACTTTCTGTTCAATCTTTTACGAATAAAGGTTATATTGTTACATTTGATAGTAATAAGTGTTACATAAAGCGTAACAATGTACTCTTAGCCCACGGCGACGCTCAACAAGGTTTATATAAATTGACCGCGAGCTCAATTGACGAGAAAACATACTGCTATTGCTATTTCATGTTCTAATACAAACTGCATATTAAAATGGCATCAAAAATCAGGCCACAGAAATATAGATACGATAAAAGTGCTTGAGAAAAATGATTTGGCAGACGGCATTAAACTTAGCAAATGCACTCAGTGTTGAATGATCTACTTGTATAAAAGCGAAACTAGCAAAGAGACCTTATTCGAAAACGAGTTTTACATCTAAAAATCCACTAGATTTAGTACACACAGATGTGTAAGGGCCAATTGAAGTTAACAGCTTAGGAGGGAAAAATATTTCGTAAACTTAACCAATGACTATTCGCGTTATACTTAAATTTAATTCATTGCTTCAAAGGATGAATATATTCGACAAACTAAAACAGTATTTGTACGCATTTTGTATTTATTTAGTTTAGCTATTTTCAGCAGAATTTGTAATTCAAATTGTTTTATATACCCGTGCAATGCAGCACAAGACTTATTTGATGAGAAAGCTACACCGGAAAAGTTAAAAATACAGAAGTAAGCGCATTTAATAAATAGATATCAATGTAACTGCTTTTGCTATCCAGAAAATTCGAGAAAGTACGAGAATGTGCTTGAGCATAATAAAAAAGCTTATAAAAACTGGAGGAAAACATCTCAATTCAGCAGTTGTTTAGAAAACTGTTGTTGTTTACTGTAGCGAATTCGCGGCGAGATCGAATTAGCTTTCTTTATGTTTCTCTGTTTTTAATTGTGTTCTGTAAAACGTTTTTAGAACAGTTAAGCCAATTCATGGCAGGCTCTGTTGCGAGATGAAAGATTCTGTTAAAAAGGTAATAAAAGCTATTGAAGAGGAAATGAATGTTGTTCAAGAAAACAGGTCAAGAGGAAATGAAGAGAGAAATTATCTGCGTAATAAAAAACAAATTCGAGGCCATGGAAAGCAGAATTGGAGCTGTTGAAAATAAAGTTGGACACATTGAAGAAAGAGTTTCTTCTGCAAAAGAACAAATAGAAGATAGAGTTTTTGCCGTGGAACAACAAATTGATGCCAGGGTTACTGCGGTTGCAAAAGAAGTTGATTCCTTGAAGAAATTCGTAGCGACGACAGGGAGCAGTAGTGATGGTTTTAAATATTTACCAATGCCTGTTCGTCCGTATCTGAAGCTATCCACATACTATGGGCAGACCTCCTGGCAAGTATATAAGACACAATTTTCTATAGTTGCGGATGTGAATGGATGGTGTTCGCAAGATAAGGTCTGTTATCTCGTCGCTTCTTTGCGAGCAGTCGCTGCGGATATCCTTCAGACTCTTCCGGAAAGCCAAAGGCTAAATTTCGAAACTTTATCCGGCGCATTGGAGCTGTGCTTCGGAGAAAAATTTTTAAAAGACTACAGCACAGTTGTTGTTGTTCGCCACAGTTGTTGAAAGGCTGTCTTACCTCGCCTTTTCGGAGTGCCCGAGAGAAACTAGAGAAATCCTGTCTCTGCAATACTTCATCGACGGCATCCTGGATCCTGAAATATAGAAAGCACTGCGAATGGCGGATGTTTAAGATTTAGAAAGCGCTCTACTGTACGCCATGAAATTCGAGGCAGCCTAGCAAGCAACTCGTAGAGACCGCCACTCAGTCGGAGCTGCTCAAGTCCAGGAGGCAAGGGATAAGTAACTATTCGTCTAGAAGATATAACCATACAATTAAGTGCCTTGAGACGAAATATTAGTGACAAGAAACCGACTCTAAAGTGCTGGAACTGCGGTGCAGAAGGCAACATACGGAGGAACTGCAGAACATCCCAGAGCACGCAAAATAAGACTGATGATTTAAACAGACAATTAAATGCCATGGGACGGAAAACTACTGACAAGAAACCAAAATGCTGGAACTCCGGAGCTTAAGACCACGTACGAAGGACCTGCAGAACACACCAGGGTTCGGGAAATAAAACCATTTCCCAGCAACGACGCAGGAAACAAATTAATGATCATATCAGGGAGTGGTGTTTGAAAGATGGTGAAAAACCCCGTTTTAAAGAGCTCAAGATTTCGGCAGTGAGTGGCAGCAGTAATGGATTATGCATCCATGGGCATATCGATGGAGATCCTTGCAATATGATGATTGACACAGGAGCTAATGTTACCATCATTCGGGACGATTTAGCTCAACAATTTAAAGATAAACTCATTTGGACGTCATCCTGTGTTACCATACAGACTGCGTCTGGTGATAAAATGGACATAGTTGGGAAATTAAACGTGAACATCACGTTTGGAAGTACCGTTTACTATCACAGGGCACATGTGGTAAATATTAGAGATCCTTGCATACTCGGGTTGGACTTTTTAAGAAAACACAATTTTTCCTTGGAATTCAAAAACAACAAACTGCTTTCAGCATCAGAGGACAAAACTATCCAGCATTAGAAGGGATCATCACCTGGAAACTCAGACACCTTGTCTGAAAGACTCTGCTCGGAAAGCTGCCGCAATTGTACTAGGATCGAAGAGAACCTCAACACTACCGGCTATTCTTCATCTCAGATTCTCTTCGGTCGTGACCATCTGCATTGTGATCGTCTGTTTGATCGCCCTCCGTATGCACCTTCATCGCTTGAAGAATACATCCAAGATCTCCAGGCCCGGTTTGAAGTGATGGAAGAGAGTGTGAACTTGGCG